GAAGAGAGGGAGTACTGAAATCATACACAGTTGTGAATGCCACCCGAGCCAGGGCTTCCTGCCCCTATTGTGTGGAGACACACAAGCATCTAAGAGTAACAAAATTTCAGAATCCTACTAGGCTTTTTCTAGGATGGCTTTTCATTTTGTCAAATGGAACGCATCTCATAGAGGACCTGGCCTTCCTCGCCACACAGCTAGCGCCTCCATGCTGCCAAGTGTTCTCGCCCTGCCTCCCTGCAGCCTACACAGCAGCCTTCCCAGTGTGGGCATGCCTATAACACTTCTTTCTGTTCCTATAGTCTTGTTAAATCATGAGGTCCCAAAGGGAAGGGGACAGGCCTTATTGATTTTATCTCTTATTGCTGTGCCCTAGTCATGGTAGACACTTTTATTTTCTGTTGAATTGGATTAAGCTGAAGCTAACAAGCCTGTCCCTAGGGATATGTGATCACAGCCTCATTAGTACTGTGTTAAGCCAATTAAGTTAGCCACTGCTGGTCAGGAAATGGATTAATGACTGCTTTAGGAAAAAAAAATGACCGACACTAGAAAAGAAGTTTGGAGATTGACAGTGAAGTTATGACCCCAAGGTGAACTATTTGATTGAGAACCGGTGTGAACATGTAGACATGCTAACAATTTCTGTCCCGATATAGAAGCACTATTTTAACCCCATTTGATTCTTCATTTTGTGACTGTTCTTTATGAAGTTGCTGATGGCAGATGGGATCTCTTGCTATCAGATGGAGGCACAGGAAGGAGAACTGACATGATCTGGGAGAATGAGGAACGGGTTAGCCCCTCTCTTGATGAGATGTTGCTCAGTTCTGTGACCTCAGAAAGCTGTCTTCCTTTCCATGTATCAGGCTAGTGATGGTGTTTAGAGTAACTCCAGCATCGCCATGAGATCCTGTTCCCTCTGCACCTCTTTAAAGAACCCGTGGAGTCTCTCAGACAGGGGACAAGCTCAGCATTCTTTAAATGAGCATCGACTTCCCACTAAATCTTTCACAGAATTATTTTCAAGGGATGGAGGATGAGAGACTTGTCTCATGGCTATGAGCCAAAGTCCCTGTGGTCTTACTGTTTGGATGTCATGTGAGACATTATCTTCTCCCTCCATGAACTGAATCCTGGAGAGACAGAAACAGAACTTAGTTTTTGTTTTGTTTGTTTTTGCAGTGGCCTTGTTGTATATCTGGCTGGCCTTTAACTCATAGGCATCCTTCTACTTCAGCGCCACAGTGCTGGAATTGCAGGCTCCTGTGCCCAGTTCTCTTTGCCCAGTTTAGTGTTGGGATTATAGGCATAAATCCCTGAGCCCACTTTAAGACCTTGGCTCTGTATAGACAGGCATAATTTTATTATTGCTCATAGTTTCTTATCTATTGATGCTTTTTATGTCTTCCCACTTTTAACTCCTCATAAGGGGAAATTCGGTTGTAATTATCAGATAGGAGCAGAATGCACAGGCAAATCTTCCCGTGTCACATAATCCTGATGGTCCCTTCAGTGCCTCTGCTTTCCAATGACTGTTCTCTCTATATCCTCCCAACAGAGCTAAGGCTTCATATTGACCCTGTTTATCCTTTGCTGCCATTCAGGGGCCCTGTCCTGCTTGGCCACCTAAGGATGACCCTTTGTCCTTCTTTACCTCTTATGCACTTGTCAGATCCATCCCAGCACTGGCCATCATTGGCAAGCACATACGTGCTTTTGTTTCCAATTTTAACTAGCATGGGACGGGCTCCTCTCCCCTAATGCGGGTGTACCCCCATAAAGAGGACAGCTTTGTCATTTGTCATTGCTGCCTCAGCGTGGAACCCAGCGTGGGGCTCACAGCGAACATTTAGTAATGACTTATTAAGTCTTCCATTTTCCCTTTTAAATTAGTTACATATTTAAATATGGTGAGGCGGTGATAAATGTCAGCAGGCGCTGCAGACTTTGATCCATGGGTGATTTTGCAGGACAATCTTTATTCTGTATGAGAGAGCTCCTGTGTGGGTACTCAGAGATGGGCCTCTGCACCTGCGCTACCTGAAGATCATTTGCATAAACAATCGTTCCTCTTAGTTAACAAGAGAGGGAAAGTTGATGCTGTTTTATCATTAAGGGGCATTGATAGTTTAGTCTGCTTTTCCATTATCTTTATCAATTGAAAAAAAAAAGCTTACTAGTAAAAGAGGCCTCTTACAGGGTAGAATTAAGACCATATTCAAAGTTTAATAGAACTCAGAAAGGCTTAGGATGGTTCATCTCAAAACTGGGCTCTGCGTGGAAGAACTCTGCCTCCTGTTCTTTCATCCATGTTCACATGGCATATGGAAGTAGAACTCAAAGAGCTGTCCCTGTTTTTCAAAACTCAAGTGTTGTCTTATTGTTCCAGCCACTGTCTGTGTCAGCAAATGGTTTCTTTGCCATTCACTTAACCAGAGGAACAGAAAAGGAAGTGATGTGGGGCCTGCCTCGCCATTCTCTGTGCAAATAGAACAGGTCGGTAGAGTTGTCTGCAGACCTTAAAATCTGCCTTTGAGTCTGCAACAAGAATGCCCCGTCTCTGCTCCAAAATGTCTTCGGGATTAGAGGATAATTGAAGGATACAACACATTTCTATGGCCTCCCTGGTAGGCAAGCATGTAGCTTTCCGGAAAGTTGCAGTTGCTAAGAAACTAAACAATCCTGAGGAAAGCCTTTGCAGGAAGATTACTGTTCCTCCAAAGAGTGACACTTAGAAAGGTACCACTGCTGTGTTGTCCTCCTCGCCCTGGGAAACCTTGTTGTGTCTCTAACAAAGGGCGCATTGAGAGTAATTCTGAGGTAATTCCTCTGTCAAAGGCTGCTTTGCTGAGGAGATTCTGATGTTCTCTGCCTTTAGGTGTTTGTAAAAGTGCATTAGTTTTGTGGGGAGGGTAGTAGACCATTATTTAAGCATGTATTAATCTGTTAGCTTTGAAATACAAAGGAGAGCTGATGAGCTAAACAAATAATTTCATCAATATTGCTGGAAAACACGGTCTGTGGACAACGTGAATGAAGTGCACAGTGGTTTCTGTCTCTGTGTCTTGGTTCATCATGTAAAAAAATGAGGGGAAACAGAAAAACAGAAAACAATATCACGTCTCTGCTCAGTTGGGGCTCTAATTCTTAGCTGTTCTTCCATAGTCTATATAAAAAGAAAAGTCTGTAAAACTTGCATGATGCTATTGAGGAACCCCAATGACCTTTGGGGCGAGAGGAATCATGTGACGCCAGGTTCTAGGACCCCTAGAAGAAAAACTGACCTTACAATATAAAAGCTCAGACTCTTACATCACCACCATTCAGTGGATTTGGTTGGGGCCACTCTCCCTGCTCCTCAGTTTCCTCTTAAAACCTTTTAGCATCTCTGGTTATTTATTCTGATTTCCTCTATTCCTCTGCCAGAAGTTGAGAAGGAGACTGGCAGACTGAGTGGTCACTGATGTGTGCTTCACAGAAAAGGGCCTGACTTATTCTCATCCTTCTGATCCTTGCTGTTAGACACAATCCCACTGCCAACTGTCATAGTCTAATTGGAGAAGTGGGAACTAGGGGTTTTGAAAGTTTTGCATTGTGGTAAATATAATGCTGACCATTTTCTTTTCAAGGGTGCCATTAAACTCGTTCCCGGTCCTGCACAGCCCTCACCAGCACGCTTGTCAGAACCCCCTTTCTCTTGCCAAATCGAGACTCTGTACTCCTAAAACAAAGAACATCATCCCACATACGGCTCACAGCTGCTGTCCCATTTTCTGTGTCTCTGAATGTGATGGTTTCGTGGACCTTAACTATCAGTAGGCTAAGCCCTCATAAGTGTCTGGTGTGCCAGCAGCATTGGTAACCATTGGATGCATAGCTTATGTTACTCATAAGAACATATGTGGAACACATGATCAGGCTATCTTGCAAGTCTTGCATTTGGAAATCAGTGTTTGATACCAAAAGGGTTCTGTTATGTGAAAATTCTCAGTTTCGGAAGCCTTCCCCGTGTTCTCTATTTACTACAAATTCTGTATATCTGCAGATGTCGGGAGTAAGTAATAAGGGTGGCCCGTTCAGTTCCCTGTGCAAAAGTATTACCCCCTTCTTGGCCTCCTTCAGATAATGTCCTGAGAACAACAATAAGGAAGCAGCGAGCTGGGGCTGCGTGCAGTTCTGCCTGTAGAAATCCCTGGGATAGCATGATGCAGCCTGTGCTGTGGACCATGAGAAAACTACCTGGGGAAACCAAGGCACAGGAGCTCTTCAGAGTCCTAGAATGTGTGGGCTGGTCTCAGCTTGCCATCTAAGGATTTTGTAGATTAAGAGGGCCAATGCTCACCTCACTTGCAGACATTGGAAGGAGAGCATTGCAGCAACCACACTGGTTCAGTTGTCAGCATCAGTGTAGACATTTTTCTAAGCACCTGCATTTTCAATCTAATGTCAAGCCCTTTTTATTCTCTGCATTGAAGCTATCTGTTTAATTTTAATTACAGAAGTGTTGACTTGGCAAATGTTTTAAAGCAGGGGTTCTCAACCTTCCTAACGTTGTGACCCTTCAGTATAGTTCACATTGTAGTGACCCCAACCATAAAATAATTTCATTGCAACTTCATAACTGTACTTTTTCTACTGTTATGAAACATAATATAAATCTGATATGTAGATAGATGATATGTGACCCCCAAAGGGGTTGTAACCCAGGGGTTGAGAACCCCTGTTTTAAAGGAAAGATGCTCCTGACTTAACCTATGTATGGATCCTAACTCTCCATTTTTGCCTTGATCTAGACCACTGTTTTTGTTTCCAGTGATGCTCTCACTTCTGAAGCCAGTTCCCACTAGTAGCAATACCTTGTGTCCTCTGGGGAGAACAGCTGTGAGTTTGGGGTGGGCAGGTCAGTATGAGAGGCATCCATTCTCTGGGTGACGTTCCAGGATGTCTGAGTGATGGCTGTGACAGTGGATAGAGCCCCCCCCCTTTTATAACAGCAGCAGGTGACTGTTATACATGTCTCTGACTGAAAATGACTGACTGGTTGTTGCTTTTCTACCCAGCATGTAAAGAGAAAGGAGTGGACTAGGTACCATTTAGATTTAACTAGCACCTATGGGAGACAAATGAGCCCAAGTTACTCTTGAACTGCATTATGTGCTCCTGTGGTCCGACTTTCTGAATTGTACCAGGGGTGCATCCTATGTACACAAGTGAGAATGAGGAGAAAGAGAACAGCAGGGACTCTTGAACAGGCTTGAAAGGTAGGAAACTGCTGATTTATGAAAGGATGACTTCTACAGTCTCTCTCTCTTTCTCTCTCTCTCTCTCTCTCTCTCTCTCTCTCTCTCTCTCTCTCTCTCTGTGTGTGTGTGTGTGTGTGTGTGTGTGTGTGTGTTTGATCCACAGCCTGGTTTCTACATGAGATTTTTTTCAACTTATAAAAAAGCATTTAATTGGACTCACAGTTTCAGAGAGTTAATGTCCATGACCATGGGGCTAAGACACGGTGGCAAGAACAACTGAGACTTTGTACACCTTGATTTATAAGCAGGAAGTAGAAAACACAGTAGAAATAGCTTGAGTCTTCTGAAACCTCAAAGCCCACACCTAGTTACACATTTCCTCCAACAAAGGCACACCTCCTAATCCTTCCCAAATGGTTCTTTGCACCAACTAGGAACCAAGAAGTTAAGCATATGATCCTATGGGGGCTGTTCTCATTCAAACCATCACATTCCCCTTCCTGGCCACCATAGGCTCATAGCCATATCATAATGCAAAATGCGCATAGTCCAACTTCAAAGATTGCCATGGTCTTTCAGTCTCAACGCTGTTTAAAGTCCACAGTTTGAGTGTCTCTGGAAGTAACTAAAGGCTTGAGCCAGACAAGGAGAAAATGGCTCCCTACCTCACTCACATGGAAATGCCAAAGCAATAGAGTGCATGGAAAAGCAGAAGGCTGGCACCCAGGAGTGTTCAGATGTGTGTGTGGTGGGTCGGGGATGTTGCGGAAGAGAAATACAGCTTCATCCTGTGGTGGCATCCCTGAGGTTTTATGTAACCTGTAGGTTCCTGTGCCTCACCATACATAGGGAGAACCCTGAGAGGAGGGAAATGAATCTTTGCTGGATTGTACACTGCAGAGCATCATGGTAAATGTAGTTAGAGTTACCATGACCCCAGGATGTCAAAAAAACTCCCCCTCACACTCCCTCACAGCACACATGTGCAACATCCAAGTTGTGGCCATCCCCCATCACACTTCTTTACATCATATTTCGCTATCTAAGGAAAGAAAATGAGAAAAGGCAAGTTACCCTGTTTGGCCATTTCTGAGAAGAGAGTCCATGGGCAAAAGTGTCCTTCTTCTCCCAGATAATTCTGTAGTTCCCCACAGAACCGAGCTGAGTCCTCAAGTGTCTCATCAACCTCAGAGAGCAAGAAAAAGCAAAGACTAGGCAAAGGACCACTGTCTAGGAGATGGTGGTTGGAAGATATTTGCCAGGGCCCTGTGAAACTGAGGTCCAAAGGATACAGAAGGTGGGCAGTGGGTCTAACAGAGGGAGGGAAGGGCCAGAAGCTGAGTGGGATTTGGGCCTAATGTGCTGTCCTAATGTTGGAAGGGATAATAAGGGCTTGCCTTGAGGACAGGACCTGAAGAAGACATCACCTGAAAATGTGTGGCCTAGGAGGGAGATGTCTGAAAGATAGGAGTCTGTCACTCTGATGACATTTAAGGTCAGCTGCTGTATACCCACACAGCAGTGTGAGACTTTGACATCCACAGACCCAAGTTGCCCTACAGATTTAGCTGTGTGGGGAATCTTTTCCTTTTACCTTCCCTGTCTCTCAGCCTCTGACTAAGATACCCAAGAGTGTTTGATCCCCCAACTCCATGGAGATGTGTCATAAAGTTTGTCATGCCCTGTGTTGGACACCTTCCTGAAAAGGGCTTCTGCCTCTGGACTTTGAAGAGTCACTGTGAGAGAATAAAGGCTCTCACATGAACACTAAGTTATCCAGGTAACCCAGTTACTTCCCCTTGTTCTAACTCTTCCTGAGACCTGCCTTACCCACACACACCCTCTCCCTTCCTCTTTCCTTCAAAGTTGCCTAGAGATGACTTCTGCCTTTCTAAGAGTCTTGAGTTCTTAACACAAGGGTTTCATTTTCCCCTTTGCATGATGAAGACACCTTTTTGGTAAATATCAGGATCCCATGACTTTCATCAAGCTGGAAGATTCAAATCAAATTTCCTCACAGGAAAATTCACACATTTTTTTCCCTCAGTGTGCCACTTCTGAGAGCTGGTCAGGGTTCAGAAGTCACTGGTCACTGGAAGAAACTGGCTCAGTGGCATTACTGATGCCTGAACTCTTGCAACGCTCCATTTGCATGGCTGTAGGATCTTTCAGGACTGGTAGTCTGCAGTACCTAAAAATCACATGAAATATGTCTTCCCTTCCTGTCCTCAGGCTGGAGAGAGCCGTCTACTCTCGGGCGTGTTTAGTGCTGTCGAATCGCCTTCGCAGCTTGAGAAGATGAGTGTAGAAGCGATCACTGTATAATGACAAGGAAAAAATGACCCAGAAATGACTTATACGAGGAAATCACAAGACTCATAAAAGGCATTCTGATATCCTCAGCCACACACATTTGTCTTTAGGAGGATGGTATTTTCTGGAATGCTGAGCTCAGCCTTTTCAGGGTATGGCCAATTTGCTTGTGATGGTCATTGAGACAACTGTCATTCTCGTTTATCAAGACAGTGTCCTCCGGTGGCTGGAGAGCGTCCGTGTGTGTGTGTGTGTGTGTGTGTGTGTGTGTGTGTGTGTGTGTGTGTATGTGTGTGTTTTTCTCAAGTGATATGACTCACGTGCTTGGAAATCCTGAGGTGACAGACAGCAGTGAGTTGATATAATGTGAACGATCAGGATATAGTTGCCATGGTGTTGGGGCACAGAACTGAGACTCTGCTATGCCTGTCTACTAGAAAAAGACCTCTCTGTACCTGTGAGACACAATCTAAACACGTTAGAGGTGCCCAGAGGGCATGCACCTTGGCAAATGTGTTTGGGTCTGGAGAGGCATGGGGATGAATAGACCCTGCCAAGCCTGGTGGCCATGTCTCCCATCCTCTTGCCTTTTCATATTTCTATGTTAAAGGTTAGCATAGTCCAATTCTAAACCTATGGTGGAACAGAAAGTGGATGGAGTTTGGAGTCTCAAGGTGAGAGAGAGTAGAGAAGGAAGGCAGAGCAGGTCCCCAGGGCTGAGCATGTAAGTCATTGGCATGACTGTTGGACATTTTGGGATACAGGACTTGATTGCCTGTGATATCCCAACTAACTAAAGGTGTGACAGCCACCCAGCTTTGCTGTGGTAGACTTGGGATTGAGATATGACCTGTTCACTTTGCTAATAACTTAAAAGTGAAAGTAGAATGTATGCATGCATGCATGTAAACACCTCCACTCCCACCTACCTGCTAATTGCTCCTCCAAATCTATCAAGACCCAACCCCAATTTCAGTGTCTGGAAGACACTTTTCTATATGTTTGTTTAAGGCTGTTTTTTCACTAACATTCACACAGCATTTGGTGATCATGAGAAATACAGCCCAATATCTACTAAAATGAAGGATGCTGTATACCAGAAGCACAGCACATTGTCTTGTGCAATCACAGTCCAGTGCAGGACCCTGAGTGAGTAAGGGTAACAAAGGCTAGGACCGGGGAGCAGGTGGATCTCCACGCTTTTCTACCCCTACCTTACCAATAGTAACAGAGGCACATACTGGAGGGGTCTACATGAGCCCTTTATACATCATGCATTCTTGGTGCCTGTGCTGTACCAGGCTCAGATAGGGCACTGGGGGCCTTCTGTGTAGGATGAAGGGGTGACTCAAATGCTCCGAAGATGTTGAAGAATGATCGACATATCCCTGACAGCTTTTCCTCCCTCGTACTTTTCTTGGATCAAATGTCATTTCTCATTTCCTAGAAATTTGCCTTCAATATTGCCCTTATATAGATTTCAAGAAAGTTTTCAGCACCTTTAACTTATAGATAATTCTAGTTATAAAAGGAAAACAGTTTTAATGATTTGAAAAGAAGTTGGATGAATGAAGAAGAGAAAGGGAGAGAGAGAGGAAGAGAGAAAGAGAACAAAAGCAGAGGAAACCCAGAAACAGTAAGGACAATGTGAACTCCAGGGACATGTCCTCAGTTCTCAGCAATGCAGAATACAAAGATCCCAGCTGACACTTTAAACATGCCATTTTACGCATTCACCCTTGGGGGTTACAAAGGGATATTTCTCAGCTGGTTCTCCATGAATTTCCATTTTGATGTCTCTATGAGATGTTAGATGCCAGGTCAAGAAGAGAGCACATGCCAAGGTGGGGTCACACATGTAGACCACCCTCTTGTCTCTACTCTTTACATCCCTTCACCATTGTTCCAGCAGAGACGTAATTTCCATGTTTGTGGCTTCTTTTTAAAACATATTCTCTCTCTCTCTCTCTCTCTCTCTCTCTCTCTCTCTCTCTCTCTCTCTCTCTCTCTCTCGTGCATGCAGCAGTTTGTTTGTAGTTGTCTTTTTACTTCTGCCTTGTAGATTCTGAGACTCAAACTCAGAGAAGCAAGCTGGGTAGCAAGCATCTTTACCAGTCGAGCCGTCTTGCTGGCACCAGATCTGGAGCTTCGTCTAAGACAGCTAAGCAATGTAGGGAGCCTCACAGGGTGGGAAGGAAGCAGAACATCCAGCCAGGGCCACAGGGCTCTACTGTCTGTGGTCTCTGATTTTTGCTTGCTCTCTACAGACTTTACACTGTCCAATTCAGGGTTCCCCAGACCTTAATTGAGATGTAGGTCAGTGTTTCCTTGTCCTAGATCCCCAAACACACAGGAAATTAGGGATCTTGGGAATGGTAGAAAAACAAGACACAGAGATTCTGAAGCCCCTGCCCCACCTTCAACCCAGTCACCCCAGGCTGCCA